TGTGCTTTGTGCTGATAAGCTTCTTCCAATCTGGACTTTGCACAACCACTTCCATTTCTGCCAAGCCTACCTCAGCTCACGGAGCCCACGTGTTGCATGGATGAGGCAGCTACATACACGCGATTGAAGCAGCTGAGAGGAGTCGAGGCTGGCTCGGTAGCAGCAGCAAACCAACAATGGGATTCAAATGCACTCGATCAACAAATTCAACTTGAACCCCAGTCATGTGATCCCTCTGTGTTCGCAACGGTTTGCCCATTCCAGTCTTGACACTTGTTTCCCTGCATGCGTGCAAGCCAAGCGGGAGAGATGAATGTGATCCCTCTTTTGTTTGGTGTTTCCGGTGGTGCCGAGCTGGAATTCGAATTCCCTCAGAGGATCCTCGTCTCTTCTCGCGCCAACACGAAGTCAAACTGCCAGGTTGTTCGTGCAGACACCGCGACACTGCAATCAGTGGACTACAATGCTGCGCACTTGGCCACTAGCAAAACAACTTGACATGTACACATAATCGCTTGTCATGTAGACCTGCCGCGATTAGATTCCAAGAGACTCGTGTGGCCCCTAATCAAGTGCTTGCCAGAAGATAAGGCTGCTTGCGTGGAACGTGCAGTGCGAGAGAACGCAAGCGGCCTGGTGCTGGCACGCATCCTGCAGTCTCTACTGGGATGTTTCATCAGATCTAAATGGGCTGGTGTGCACAATCTATTCTGGCGTGGGCGTGCTGCTCTACTGCCAGGATTAGCAATGTCATTGCTGGTTGAACTTAACATGCGACATCAGCAGAATCGACCCCGGAAAGGAATGCCATAGTAGCTTACTTCAGTCGCCAGCAGCCGAGGTTCGAACGCCATGGGGCTGGGTGGGCTACAGTGCTGCACCTGGGCACTTTCTTCGATCTTTTGCGCACTGCAGGCTGGCGGTGGCTGACACCAGTGTAGAAAAGTAGGGCGGCTTTGACGAAATTGTAGAATCTTATTCGACGATTTGTGCAGGCTTGCTGACAACTGGAATCAGCGTAGAACAAAAGACTGCCCACGCCGAATCGCCGACAGCAGCAATATTCTCGACTGAGGTCAGGGATGTGCCAATGCTTTCCGAGCAGAGGCCGCTTGGAGCACGATGTGTCTCGTCACACTTACGCAGTTTTGGAGCTTACCTCAGCCCGCATGTATTCAGGCGATGATGCTTCAGGGCACGCCTGAGCAGCAACGCTTGTGGCTTGCCTGCAGCTAGCTGCAATAGGCGAATAATCGCTCGGAGGCTTCAGGAAATTGCTGTGGTTGGCATGACTACAGTGTCCAGCGGGCTTGTTTAAGCGCTGCATGTGGTTGCGGAAGCTTGCTTGTTGTGAGACTGCTTGAAGCAGGCACCGCTTTGGATGTGAAGATATGTGTCTTGTGTTGTGGAGACGATGGTTCGAGTCTCTGATCAACCTTCTTTTGAGCTGTCGCTTTACCTCTTTGGCCTTCTTCATCCGGTATTCCTGCCGAGAAGTAGCTAACGTCCAGCCAGCTATGCGATGCGACGTATCTGTCGTAGCAAGTGCTCTGCCGGATATCACGGGTGAAGTGCCTGACCAGGATGGACAAGTTTCGATGCAGGCAGCTGCTTTACTCCGCGGCAAACGGCTCGGTCTGACGCCTGGGTTTTGTCTCTCAAGATGACGTAGAGGCTATACCGAGGCTGCAGCGTGTACTTGCACCTCAGAATTCAGCTGGCTTGCAGACATGTCTGCCCCGCCAGCAAAGAAACCAACACGCTCAAAATCTTCAGGCCCACGCAACCTGTGGGGACTGGAAGCTGCTGCGGGCACTCGTGGACGGTGAACGGTTCCTCAAGCGCTTCCAGGCCTTCCAAACTACCCCAAGGAGACATTCTAGACAAGATGCGTAGGTGTGGTTACCAACGCTTAAGCTGGCGCTGTTTACAGATGGTTGTTCGTGGGCAGCTTGTAAAGTAGATACCTTGATCAGATCGATCAGATCCGGTACAAAGTCTCGTGACGTCTCCTGTCTTCACTTGCCCAGTCAAGTGCAAGTTTTCAGGCATTTGTTCACGCTGAGACGTTGGTAGGATGCAACAGAGGGTTGGTCTTCATGAAATGGAAATCCCAACTGCCAGCGCCAAGCACAGGTGGCGGCGTCAATCTTGCAAACATGCATGCGGCCAGAGATAGGCTCCTTTCTTGCCGCTTTACTACTGTCACCCACTAGAGTCACTAGAGGTTGGAGCCCATGCAACTTGCGCGGACAAACTTCAGCAAATGTTGCATGGACTTGCTTAGTCAACCCACTGTGCCCTGTACATGCGTCCAGGCCAGCATGTCCGCTGCGACTCAGAACTTGGCTCTGGACCTGGTGTTCCCGAAAAAGCAGTAAACAAGACAACAGATTCTGTAAAATGCCAAGCGTACATGTCAAGCATTGGATGTTGACAGGATTTGCTTGCACATGTGCATCGAAGGATGGCGTCTAGGCCTCGTTGCATCCTGTAATCAATCACACCTAAGAGAATCTCGCTTAAATTTAGCTCGGAAATCAGTATAAAACAGTCATTGCGATGGCCCTTCTTTGAACAAGAGCCGGATTTCCTGCACGGAAGGACCTGCTGCAGAATGGATTGTCATCAAGACTTGCTTATGCAGTGCTCGGAAGTGTCCAGCTCGAGCCTTAGCTGTGCGTTGGTGGAGGCCCTTTGCACATTATGTTGACTTTTCTTAGGGCAGGTGCATTGATCCAACAAGGTCACTGGCACATTGTTGCCAACGGCTATGGTTTGACTTTACTTCGTAGGTGTAAAGGGCCATGGTGAAACATCCTATGTCATCCTGACAGACCTTGTGACCTCGTTACTGCCTACAGCCACCTTGGTACTTGCTTGCTTGCCTCTGCCAGTTGCAGCCTAATTAGGGCATGCAAGCGTCAGGAGTGCCTTGCGCAGAAATGTTGACCAACGGCCTTTGACAATACGGTGCACGGACAAACAAGGTCACTGACACATCAAGGTGCTCGCACGATGTGGCGTGCTCTTGGCATGTTCATACCTATACTCAAGTTCAACGTTCCGGGCAGCTCGAGATCTCATGTCAGAGGGTTGCAAGACGCTGACTTCGCATGTTGAAGCATCTTTTGTGCATCTAGGCCGGGACTGCAAATCCACCTTACATGAAGCTTTGCCAGGGCAACTGGCACCACTTGATCATGTGTCAAGCGCCTTTGGCCAGGTGATGGACAGCATTGCCCACGCGCCCCATCCACCAGCATCCGAGGGGTGGTAGAAGAGCACACCATTCCGGACTGCCCCGATAATGAGGGAAGGGGCCTGCATGCTTCGGTCGAAGGTGTGTTGTATGCATGTACCAGGCACCACTTTGCCCGCGAGTGGATTGGGCTAAACCCAGCTGCAACGCAGTTCCTAAAGGGTGTTACAATGTGTGACACAGGCTTTGACACGCGCGTAGACTGGCAACCAATGCGGCAGGCACAGCACGCACAGAAATGGTTGTCGTATATTTTTCTATTGGAAGTTTAATAACTCAGTGCGGCACACGCCATGGTTACTTAGGAGGCACGCCAGTTTGCACAGCAGGTGCGAAGGTACCTTGAGAAACTAAATCTTTGCGGGTCCAAGGTTAAGCACACTGCATCCAACCCGTTGTATCACTGAATGATGCGGCTGTCCGATTCGCAGCATGTGGGCTTCAGCTCCAGAATGTCCGGCGGTTGAGACCCTGACGCCGTTCCGGCTTGCGTGCGCTATGGAGATGTCAGCGGCTCAGTGGATGTTGAGGCCTTCCTAAGCACACCAACCTTTGCTCTTCACCAGCACGAGCCCCTGCTCCCGGTGGGGTGTTCTCACATCAGCTGGGTTTTCTACCCATCGAGCATCGTCGAGGCTGGGGGAGCCAATCCTTGCAATTGTGATGTTTCTACAGCGTCCACAGGGTTTCAGCTCATGATGCGGGATGTCTGTATGGTATCGCGTATGTTGCATGCTGCGTCTCACTCCGGGAAATACTGGATATGAGACATTGTCGCATCCATGCAGTTCTTTGCATTTCAAGGAAGGCCACCTTTTCTCACGTTGACTTTTTACGTGCCATGGCTCAATCGTTTAGTATCGAAAACGCTGCCTGCCTGGTCCATAACACATTAATCGGGAAATAGCAGTGTCTCATCATCCCATGTTGGGGCATGNNAAACCAGCGTCTACATGGGGAATCAAATGGAATTTAAGCCTTGAATGTTGCGATTTCTTCTAAAACTCCAGCGTTCGCAGCAGACTGGGAAAAGCTTCCCTTGCGCCCTGGAATCAATGTCTACACTGGCTCCCAATGCCAGCGTCCGCAGTAGCAGGTGTATATTCCCACTGAGTGGTGTGTATTAACCTCAACGCAAGTAGCAAATGGGCAAACAGATCCAAACACACATGCTTCTGTTACCACTAGTGGTGGCCTGATGGCAATTCGGAACTATACGTGTCATGCAATAGCTGAGACTCAAGGCAAAGTGATGCTGAACAGCCTCCGCCGACGAAGGGGGCTGAGAAGAAGACGCTGGCTTGAAAGATCATGTGATCTTCTCATTTCCTGCTGTTATTGTGTAGGTTGAACAAACACCGAGTTTCTTGCATGATCGTAATTGGGAGCTTTCAGCTGGAAACTAGGGAGTGAACGCATTCGGCTTGTGACTTCCCATGAGATTTACTGATCGCATTCCATCACAAGATGACCTGTGCAATGAGAACGTAAATTTACCCGGACAACTCTTTCAGACACTGGTCTGTGAGCACTCTTTCGTGAGGTTCGTTGAAGAGCAGAACTGGTCTACGCAGCCTTTATTGGCAGGGCCATACAGAGCCCCTGTCCTACCGACCGAAAGTCTTGCACGCAATTCACCTCACATCACCAACTCAACAGGAACGAATTAGTGAATGCCCGCTTTTTGCATGAAACTTGGAGGAGGCGCTTTCATGAGTTCGATTGGTTCCGCGCAATAATGGCGCCCTGGCGATTTAGCAGCAGAGCGTTGGTACAGGAGCAACATGTAATTAAACAGCCCACTTTGCACAGTGCCCAAAGCTGAGCAGAGTCCAGCAACTGTGGTTTTGCTTTGTTTGCGGCCTTTACTCGCCAAGCTGGCTTCCACAGACTGATGTTTCAAGACTTGCTCTAGTTTGCAAAGGGCAAGCAAGCAGTGCATCAGCAACCTTCTTTTCATTCTGTTTCCCAGGTGGTTCTTGTGGTCTATGCCCACATATCACGCAGCGGGGTTCCAGGAGGCGTCCAGGACAAGATATCGCCGGACGATAGGATCTACACGGACAAGTCCCCTGTCCACAGTGTGAGCTATAAGTTCTTGGAGACTTTGTTTTTTTCACTGCGCTTTCGGCAAAAAAATTGGCAGTGGTGTGGCAAAGCCATGTGTGATTACCTGCAGCAAGTCTTGTATCGCAGAAGTGCTTGTGCTGAGCATTGTTGACCAAAGGAATCCCTCGCCATTTGCGGTACGGTGGATATCTGAAGTGAGACTCTAGTCCGCAAGGAACTCGATTTCTGCCTCTGCAGCAGGGAGTGGCGCAGGGCGTGAATAGCATTGCACTTCCAATAGTTCAAGAGCGACTGGCATTTCGGAGACGTCACTTTGTATCCTTGATGCCGCAGTCGTCATTCATAGATGACCGATTCCTGAGAACCCAATGCTCGCAGCCTTCCTTTGCGCAGGTGTCATGTAGAAGAGATGTTTGTTGAACGTGTCAGCTTCTACGCGCCTTGCTCCAACGCAGTTCCACATAAATGCCGAACCTCTAGAGAACTGCAAGAACGAAGCCTTCTGCAGCGCAAGCGTTGCTAGGGCAATACTGCTTGCCTTTGCTCTTCTACGTTTCCGGTGCCGCCTCCGCCTGCTCATTTAAACAGGCCCTGATGCTTAATTTGTTCTTGTTTGGATTGTGCAGCGGCGAAAACAGATCTGTGTTTCCATGTATTGGTCTCATTCAAGTGTATGCGACTGATGTGCTGTGATGGTGTCCGATGTTTTGGTTTGGGTTCTTGAAAGGAATACATTCTTGTTCACCAGCGATCTCTTGGACTACCATTTGCCCATATCATCCTGGTCCCTTAAAAATCGCGAGAGGCCCCGAGCGGCTTCGGGAAGATTGCAGTCTACACGTTCCTAGGCCCTTTGCAGCGACTTAGCCATTGGGATAACGGAAAATGAAATGGAAACTACTATAATGGGATTATATAGGGTTTGGGGTTGATATTGGGATAATAGAAAATAGAATGGAAACTACTAATGGCTGTGATTCAGTTTAATCATTGTGCTTCAGGAAGCATAACTTGATCATGCGGCAATACCAATCCACGTTGCTACCACTTCGTTTGCAGGAGTTGCGCTGAACGGCGTGTTATGGGTCATGGGACCTCAGAATCCCGAGTGTGACCCGGGCAGCTGCCACTTGCGTCCAGAATGCCCTTCTGCCTTTTTAGCAAGACTGCAGGAGTCAAACCACTGACGTTACAATTCCACAGCTAATGGACAGAAGATATCAAGATGCTGGTTTGGCTGGTTGGGTGTGTTACTCCTGCCATTCTCCCCGGTTGGGAAAGTATGCTGCAGTAGGGTTTGGCTTCAGTCGATAGATACCGTACAATTTCCCATGCAATTGCAGGGACACCGCATGGAACAAGGGCCTTGATCATTCTGCTCGCTGATCAAACTAACCTGCCTGCAAGGCAAGGGCGCTGTGTTTGACTTCACGATCAGCCCTTGGTCTGGGAAGCTGTTTCCGATATTGTTCCAGATGTGGTATTGCGTCATGCTCATTGCCCTGATGCTGATCAACTGGCCTCTTTTTGCATACCTGCACAAAAAAAGTTGCCACGCTGCCATTCTGATACTGCAGCTTGTCCTTACCGGTGCGCTTGTTAGTGCTTTTGTCGTCCTTGCGGGCGAGGAGATAGAGCAGCCACTTCTGGTGGCATCTTTGAAGGTGGCTTGTGAGGGCGCGTTCTTGGCTACTGCTATGCTGGCACGCCCTGAGCACAGACCTAGCTGGCTTCCCCTGCGTTTCGTACACTACCTACTTGGGCTTTTGATGTTTCTGGCTTTTGGCTGCACTCCGATCGCGCCACGCATCGAGTCTATTTCACCTGCTCCACAGCAAGCACTGGAAAAATTTGGGGATCTCCAATTGTTAGTGCGACAGTTGTAGACGTGCCCGCAACTGCAACTACCATGCCTTTTTGCAACTCAGTCGTTCATCCTGTACATATTCACGGGCTTCAACAAGGCCTTCCAGCTTGGACTCCTGCTCAAAACTAAGATCGGGCTGGATGCATCATGCAATCACATGGGAATATTCCATGCCGTCCTTGGCAAAGCCAGGCCAAAATGCACAACAGTCTCATGGCTCACCCATGACAGAAGTGGCAACCATCTCCTCCGAGGATTCATCATCACGCTCTCACGCCTCCCAGGATGGGAGGAAGCACTTCCAATTGCAACTCGGCAACGTGAGGAGATAGACACAGCACATGGTGCCACACTGCTCGGTGGTCAATGTCAGCATCTCGCATTAGGCTTGGCTTAGCAAGTCTGTGCATGTGCAATGAATTGGTGGCACACGGTGGTGAGCAAAGAAGTCAGGTTAGCATATATTGGCCTATGCTGGTGATTCTTCGAAGCTTTGCAGCACAACAGCTGCCCGAGATTAGCCGTCTCTAACCCTCTGATGCTTTGTCAAGCACAGTCTGTGGCGTGGTTGACCAGACTTGCAACCTGATAACAAGAATGGGGTGGGGAAACTCTTGAGCAGGTCGGAGTCAGACCGCTGATGATTTGTGACTACATGCATGCTTCACTTGTTTTCTTGTGTGAGCCTGGGTGTTCAGTTTAGTGTTGTGATCCATGTTTTGCATTGGCCCAAGATGCGTCAGTCGCGACTCAGGAACAGTTACTGCGCCTTCGACAAGTTGGTTTGCTGGAGGCGCCATGACCTGCGGTCTGCAAGTTTGGTCAAGTGCAGCCCACTGATTTGCATACTCCGCGATGATTTGGCAGCTACAACTGGTTGGCGTATAGGTGAGAGTCCACCATGAACCCTTTCTCACAGCCAGGCAATCTGACCTATCCGTACTACCCACGCTTGGCAGATCGTGCACTCTACGTGCTCGGGGCTGCAACATAGACAAGTCATGTGGAGAGTAGTGTGTTCGAATCGCTGCAGCGAGGACTACGACATATGAGTCATGATTTTGAAGTTCACACTTGCGCAGCGCGTGTGTCTTCAGATTGGCCCATGAGCTAATGAGGCTGCCGGCGCTGTCGTTGTCATGCGCCTTGGGAAGCTCAAGAGAGTTAAGAAAACGGAGGATGAGAAATGGTATCAAAGTTTTGCTGAGCAAGGGCATGCCGGGCCGAGATGTAGACTAGACTTCGCGATCCTGCGCCACAGCAATGTGATTTCCTGTTGACCAGGTTTGTGGTTGACAGGGTTGGCCGCCATGTGAACTGCAACGCGCTGCCAGAATCTCTTGCGAATATGGCACTATTGCTCCTCGGATTTTGAAAGCCGGTCAAGAAGCTGATGACAGCTCGCTAGGCTGAAGTGGTTCCCGGCCAGGTTGTTCTGCTTTAGGGTTTAGATCACAGCAAAAGCCTTGATTAGCCGCAGCCTTCGCACAAGTGAGCATGTGGCAGGTCTTCAAAGGCCAAGCCAAAGAAGAAGGCATTCAGTGAAGCAGGGCGCAAAGGCTGCCTGAACTCAGGCTGTACTTACTCCATCCCTGGATAATGGCGATCTTGATAGTGGTAACTCGAGCCTTTGATGCACCAGACGGGCTGTAGCATCAGCATGCAGCGACTGCGACTTTCCCACAAAACGGAGAAGATGATGATACGGCGGTTACTCGTTCCGTGTATATGTATTATATTGTGTCAAGAATCGGAAAACGCCCATGCCACTCGACGTAGCATCCTGGCAAGCATGCTGTCCATAGAATTCCAAGGTGGCACTCCACTGGAAGATGCTGGCTCTTTATGGCTGCTGGCCCTGGCAGTGGGCTGGGTGCTGGGCCTTTGCTGCACCATCAAGCCAAGGCAAGATCCTTGTTCCATGCCTTCCCTTTGCTTCCCGCAAGCTCAGATGCGCATGCGAGTGCAGCCATGCAGGGCGTAGCTCCTTTAAGAGACCTGGCGAGGACAATTTGCCGCGCTCGCCGTGACTCAAAATCTTTGGCTACTTGCAATGGTGACTCCGAGAGCAGCAGTCAGGACAAAGTTCTTCTTTCGCGCCGTTAGCAGCACTACGTTGCACTTGCAAGACCGAGAGACCATCCAAAGATGTACACGAAGGGTAATTACATGAGAATATGCGAAGTACACTTCACTAGATGGACACAACCAGAGCTTTGCTCTCGCTCTGCTTTGTCGTGCGTGTAAGCTGTCATACATGTGCGTGCAAGCGAGCCAATCCAGCTGGCTCAAGAAATTGCAACGCAGGAAGACTCGGTGGACGCCTGAGCGTGAGGCTCTTCGTAATGTTCCAAACTGCTAGCTGTTGGGAAGGCCAGGAGGTCAGGAGTTTTGGGTTTAGGGTTGGTCAGCCTTTCCAGCAGAATTTTCCTCAAAAGGCAGCCTACCCAACAGATAGCTTCAGCAACAATACGTTGCGGGCTAATGGAGCTTTTGCTGCAGCGAATCGCGCTGCCCCAGCAAAAGAGAGACATAGATGCCATGCTGCAGACACAGCGGGGAACTCTCACAATGTTTGGTTGATTGTGAAATAGTTGGCAGGTGGAAGTGTTGAAGGCGAGCAATGTTTTTTCATTTGCGAGTGCCCAGCAAAATCAAGCATGGCTTCATCGGCGCATCGTGGAAACGCTGGGACACATGATCAGCTGCACCGGCTAGCAGACTGTTGATGTGAAGGCCTTCCATACGAAGTGAGCATGCCATGTTCTGCTCACTTGCACAGAGAGCAGGAGTGTCTAATGATGCTGTCCAATGCGCGACACTCAGCCAAGAGGAGGGTGCCTGTCTAATCATTTTTAGATGGAGAAGTTGGAGCCACCAAGCACACGGCCTGCTTTCAGAGTCACTATCGAGCTTGTGGGCCCCATGAGGGAGACTGAGCAAAGCCATCCTACCCCATCAAGGCCCATCTCTCGAACCCAAGCTCCAAATGCGGCTAAACTGTGGTGCACCTTGGGACCCTACTCAGCCTTCGCCGAATAGACAACTCAGCCTTCGCCAGTGAATATGCAACCTGGGTTGCTGGTGCCTTCAAAGAGGATGTTTCCGCTCGGTAGATGCAAGGTAATCCTGCAGCAAATGGACTACAGCCAACGCCAAGACACGCAAGTGGCTGTGGAAGAGGCATGCACATGGACCAAACTATGCAGCTGTCGCAAGTGAGAGCGACATGGTAATCTATGATTACATTAGATTGCATCTCTCATGCAAAGCTCGGACCTGGAAAAGCTTTTAAAGTTGGCCGCTGCATGTTCAGCCTTCTTCCCGAAAGGAGAGGTTAAAAACACAGAGGCGCAGATCAGCCCGCGGCAGCATGTTCCTGCATAGGCGGTCGCGCACCCTACAAGCGTCCGCAATGTAGCGGCCTCAGTTTGCCATTGGCACATACACATTTGCTTATCCCAGCCCCCCACTCACTGCAGTCTTCAACATCCTATCAGACATGCAGCATAGACGAAAGCACTCCAGACCCAGCTTCCAGCCTGCAAGGCCAATGCAGAGCTGCTGAGGCGCAGATGACCTGCAGTAAACACATGCATGCATGCATGCATGCATGCAAGCATGCTCCTGAATCACTATGACCCCCTCCCCAATGGTTGCCTTCGAAGTAGAATACTGGGCCCACTCCTTTCATATTTCGGAGAACATTCGCTGCCTTCTCGAATCTCATTCGCGCGCCTTGCATGTCAGCTAAGCAAGAAAACGTCGTACTGGCATATAGGGCGCGGGATGGCGCCGGCAATTTGGGACAGCACGGGCTTCGAGAAGTAAAGATGTTCGCAGTTCGCTCCTCTTCTTGCCAGTAGAGCCCGTAGTTTGGCCTTGACTGCCGAAATCTTCGAGCTAAAGTCTAGGTGACGTATGCAACCAGACCCTTAGCCCTGAAAAGCCACTGGCCTGTGAAGATGTGTTGCGCAGGCAAGTTGATATTCGCAGTGCTATCCAGCGTACGCACCACTGGTCACCACTGAGAGAAGAGGCTCAGATTGACTTTTCGTTGCACGGTACGGCGAAAGCTGGGCTGGTCGTTTGTGGGAATAAAGCTATGGAAAGAAAATCCTGCAGATGTGTTATCCCAGCTCGAGCCTCTCGTCTCTTTGCAGTGCTACTCTGAATTGTTCTCTTGGAATGCATGTGCACAAGTTACGGTCGATTTTGGAGTGGAAAGGTGCTTTTCCTGATGACGGCCAAAGATGATCCCTTGGCAATGTTCGACGCACCGAAGGTGCGGACTCTGAGCAAAAAGCATGCAAAAGCAACAGAGCCTGAGGGCTCGCCCAGAGCTTAATTAGAAACGGAAGGGGCATACTGGGGATGACAGGGAAGCAGGTCCCTCACAGTGGGTTCTGCTGGATCCTGGCTTTTCACCAGATGACCCGGCTTCAGTGTGGTTCAATATTGTTGCACGGCCTCTGCTCATTCTAGCCTAAGTCCTTTAACCCCAAAGCTGTTGTAAGGTGCATCTGAAACCCAGCATCGAGCCATTTCTTTTGAAAGAATTGCAATGAGCTTTGGAGCAGCATCCTTGCAGCCAGGATCGTCATGCCCACAGCCCAGGCGTCATGCAACTCCGTGATGCGCAACAAAATCGTTCCCAGTATCGCTTACAGTATCAGATTAACATACGAAAGTGCTACACATTCAGGCTCCAGCCATGCGCTCAAAAGCTTTCGCTGCCGCACTTGTCTACTGCAGAGGGAAGGCTTGCTGACAGAGTAAGCTTGCAGTTTGCCGCTGGCTTTCTTCGCTCATTCTAAACAAGCATGAACTCAGCAAGCACCGACAGTGTACAATCTTGCGTGGGCTTTATTGCATGCAGTTCATAGCATTTCAGTTGCAAGGTCTTCCCATGGCTCGAAGTCAACGCACGCTTTGGTGCTGGAAGCTGAGGTGATAGTCAGACCTGACTGCATTGGCCAGACAAGTTGCAGGCGTTATATGCGGAGATGGCGCATATTAGCGCAGCAGGTACTGTACGTGCCATAGGAGGGCATGCCTAGCTTACTGTAACAGGTTCGGTTTGCCTCAGCCAGTTTGATGCAAATCAGCTGCGAGCCCAGGTCATACAGCGTCGAGAATCGGTTCAGGACGGAGGGGTCTTTCCTAAGCAGGATAGCCCCGGTGCGTGATTACCATTTGCCACAGATTGCTTGACCTGATGCTCTTTCCTGGTTAGCCTAGGTGCAAGTTGAAGCAAATTCTGCAGCGTTGCAGGAGAGCCCGTTTGGCTTCAGCGATGTCCTACCAAAAAAAACCATGCGGGCAAGATTCTGGACAATCGACTCTGGTAAGGTTTTAGAAGCTCTCAAGGCTTCGTCCCGGTTTAGGACAGGGCTGAAGGTCAAGCTTGGGCGCAAATCTCTTACTCCATTGGTTCGGATTTATAAAGTGGAGATTGAAGTCTCCAGGCTTTGATGTCCATTAAAGTGATTTGATTTGAATTTCTGAAATTGATTCTATCGTTTGATCTTGGGCCTTTTATCTAGTCTAGATGAATAGATTCTTCAATAAACTGATTTGGACTTAAGGAAATCTTAATATCTCCTTTCCTCCTGCGGACCTCTTGGCTCAAATCTAGCTCGTCCTTTCTCGTATAATCATAGAATCATCTTGTACCTCAATATGACAGCGCGGCCAGTTGCGGTCATTTCGCTCGCGTGCGGCCTAGGTTTTCCGGCTCAACTTTACAATGCCTTCTGCGGGCTCCCTAAGGGAAGAGAGATAAATGAGGCGGAAAGACTAAGCTGGATGCGGGGCCGCGCGATCCGAAATCTCGAGATTTCGAACTATTTCTCTCTCTTCGGCTGTCTGCGCGGCGGCTCGGTGTAGACTCGGGGCGGAGATCCAAAATCTTTCAGTTAGGTTGGCCGTTTTTGGTCACGTGCGGTCTTGTATGTGGATTGTTCGTCGGGAGTCACTTGCGATCGTACATGTTCCGCGTGAATTATCTCTCTTTGGTTGTTGGCGCGGGCTGTTCGGAGTGCGTAGACCTGGGACGGAGAAATTTATAGGTTGGCCGTGTCTCTTCACGGAGATTTCTGCGCTCCCCCGAGCCGCCGTGCAGATAGCCCAAGAAAATGAGTGGGGCGGAAAAACGGGGCTGGATGCGGGGGCCGCACGATCAAAGGGCCGCGTGACCAAAAAATTCCTCAGGATTTCGAATTTCGAGCTATTTCTCTCTCTCTCTTTGGCTGCTTGCGCGGCGGCTCGGGGGAATGGAAGACCCAGGGCAGAGATCTAAAATCTTTGAGAATTTATATGTCACCTGCGGGCTTAATATATTGATAGCTCATCGGGCTTCATAGGGGAGCTTATATACTGCTTGATCATCGGATTTCTCGTTTTAGATTTTCTCAAATACTGTAAATATTTTCTGTTGCGGTAGGTAGTGGACTAGCTTTAATTTTATATATATATGAGCAATAGTCAAAATTATGATCCTTTTTGGGTTCCCAATTATAATACGGCTCCTCATATTTAGGATATCTAAAAAGGGACTATTATACTTGAATATTGCGGGGCGGTAACTGGCGGTCGTTTCGACCGCGCGCGGCCTAGTCTTTCCTCTTTGGATACGCACGTGGTTGGTCGATAGAACATGCTGACCCGGAATAGCCGCGCTTATTATGTATTTCCCCGATCTGCCGCGCAATAATTAATCTATAAAAAGCTAATGAAGCAGAAATCGGCTATTTCTCTCGCACGCGGCCTAGCTTTCCGATTTCTTTCTAGAATATTTCTTGCGGATTCTCTAGGGCTTCTAAAAACTCAAAGATTTTAGAATTTTTCAGAAAAGCTAAAAGTTGAAAAATCTTCAAGATTTGATATATGGTCGGGGCGGTTAAGGATCTTAGATTTGCAGAATATTGGGATAGTCGATCTGTCGCGCAATAATTAATCCAAGAGATAAATGAAGCGGAAATTCTGGGTTTCTCTAAGAATTTATAGATTGATAGCTCTATTTATAGATATTTGTGCGCTCTTCTGATCCGCCGCGTAATAGTTAGCCTAAGGAAGATCAATGAAATAGAAAGATTGGCTCGGAGCTCTGGAGGTCTGATCGCGTATATAAAATTCTCATGAAATTTCGAATCATTTCTTTCTCTTTGGTTGTCTGCATAACGGCTCGGCGGAATCTATAGATCCGAGATGGAGAGCTAAAATATTTCGGAATCTATAGACTAGTTGTTTTTAATTAGCGAAAGAATATTTACGTTAAGCACTAATATTATTTATTATGCTAGCTTCTTATGAGGAGTGAGCTGATG